TGGCTGCACAGGCTCAAAACCCGGATGAAGCAGAATGTGAAAAGCTCAACAACCGCCTCAAGTGGCAGATGGGTAACATCCAACGTGGACTGAGGTACGTGCCTATCGACCTCACCACCGCCAAGCTCATGGTATTTACCGATGGGTCGTTCGCCAACAACAAGGACCTGAGCTCCCAGATTGGCTTCATTCTTACGCTTGTCACCGAGACGGCCCGCACGGATAACCAGTTCGACATCCGTGGCAACCTCATCCACTGGAGCTCGACCAAGTGCAAGCGCGTCACTCGAAGCGTCCTAGCCTCCGAGATCTATGGCATGGTGAACGGCTTTGACGTCGGACTGTCCATCGCGACGACGGTTCGCATGATCACAGACCGACTGGGACTACCAGCTATCCCCCTGGTTGTCTGCACGGATTTGTTCTCCCTGTACGAATGCCTTGTGAAGCTGGGAACTACGAAGGAGAAGCGCCTGATGATTGATATCATGGCGTTGAGGCAGTCATATGAGAGACGAGAGATTGCAGAGATCAGGTGGATCAACGGCAAGGACAATCCCTCTGATGCGATGACAAAGGCATCCCCCAACCGCGCACTTGAGCGCTTCGTCAATGACAACGAGTTGACGATCAGGATGGAAGGATTCGTCCAGAGAACGATGGAGTGATTGTCGATGGACTTGACGTTGAAAGGTTTTGACGGCAGTATTTAAAAGACTGCCAGTGTTGGATCATAGGTGTCAATGCCCTCTGGTGTGAGTCCGTACTGGGTGGAGCTAGCCCATATGGGACTAGCTCCCACACACCACGATATGTGTTCTCCCCGCAGAGAACACCAAGTAGACGTAGAACCACAAGAATGAATGCAATACGTTTCCTGTTATCTCTTTAAGCACTAGTGCACCAGACCCTCCCAACAGTCTTCCCTATTACTATAAGCTATCTATTCCCCAATTATACATGCTAGTTTAACTCCCTTTATGTGCTGCCATGCACTTGGATGTATCTAAATGTTGAAGTAATGCCGGATTTCATTCGCCATTATTACTATGAGTAATGGCTGCTTACACCAACCGTCGACCCTCCTCCGTCAGTACGCACCAAAGATAAGTTCAAAACTTTTGATTAGTTAAGCATGCCTTCGTCACCCATGTATACCAGCGGCGCGAGAAATGTAGTTGTATTTCGCCAGACTCGAATCAGCGGTCTTCTATCTCGAGTGGGATATGTGTCCAAGCTATTCAGAATCTTGTTGGGAGACCGGCTTTGAAGATGTACCACTACACCATCCAGCCGTGGCGGTGTTTATGGTATCACCTGCACTCCCAAAATCGAAGTTGTACGGCGCACAGAGCCCAATTTGTAAAAATATTTACAATTATTCACAATATCACCTCTTTCGGGAATGTTCCCAAAGTTAGTATCATCTGGTCCACTTGTCCATAACTGTTGGAGCGGTAGTTATGTGTACTCTAATAATAGGTGGAATTGGTATTAACCTATTGTGATAGTGGTACAACTTACGCAATATTCTCTTGGCATTCTAATATGACACTAAAAGGACTAGAACAGATGGATAGAATGAATTTATGTGAATGTTATTGTATCGTTTTATTCAATCTATTTTATTGCCTTTTATTTACGCGCGTATACCGCACTGTACCAACAATAACTCTCCAAAGTCCATCACGAGCAGACCTGCAACCCAGATCTATGCACCACAATTTGTGGCCTCCGACAGGTTTCCATGTTTATGCGGGGGTGTTGTGATGGGAGACGAAGAAGTAGTCAAGGCCACAGCATATATCACTTGTGCATTGGTTAGGCAAGCATGTATATAGTATCATAGATTTACCCACAATAAAACGACAAAGGTTTAGTCTTGCACTTTCTGTTCAGATAACTACAACGTAATTATATATAGCCTCGTCAAATCAGCTTCTGGCCTCCTGTCGTGTTTATGAGCTATACATAAGCCATACTGCGGTGTGATGAGGAGTGGATGATGTTATATCTTGTGGTTGGCAGTAAATAGAGTAGTCATTGAAATAAGGTTGTACTAGCTCTTACTTATAGACTTTATGAGACTCGGATAGGGCTCAATCTCGTTGGGAGTGAAAATTGGACCTATTAGACTATCTTGAATCATTGCCTCGTGGGCCGACTTGTTAGGTATCGCGAAGTTTAATTCATGGCGTATGTGCTGGCTTTATTAGACTCGTTTCCCCCTGATTGCTATCTACGTAAGGAAGAATACTCCTATTTATACCTATAGCTCATCTATCTAATTGCAAGGAGAATATCCCATCTTGTGATTTGGATATTCTATCATATGCTATAGAATAGTCTACATTCTTGTCCATATTATCCGCATGCAACTACCTATGATGTCACTAACATCTTGTATAGATCTCCATATCATCTAATGCAGCTTGTCTGATTGGCTGAGCGAGCTCACATCATAGCAGCACCTCATTTGATCTTGGTGTCACGGCCTCGCCTGGCTCGCGCTACAGGTTTTTAAGAATTCTTCCCGTGCACGTAGCCTCCGTAAAAAATTGTGGCTCAATTCTACGACTAAACACGGAGCAGAATAGCTATTCATTACGGGCGATTCGTCAATGATCATTCGAGTAAAAAATGAACAGGAGCATTCAACGAATTACGGCTTGGACTGGAGAGTAGCCCAATGTGTTGGATAGCCACACTCCAGGAACCAATAAACACTTCTATAATCACAGCGGTTTTGCCGGCAAAGACGAATTCTTCACCTTCCAGTGGTGCCGGTAGAATCGCTCAGTTTACTCTGCATATCTGGGATAGCCAGGAAGAATCGCATCCAAATTGAAGTCGAAAGCAACCTCAAGCATATCTAAAATCGACAACTTCTAGTCAATATTTGACCTATCATTCTCACGCGAGTCCTCCCGCTCAATCTTACTACAAAACTTCGCCTCAAATACCGATAATGGCGTTACTCCAATTGCAATCGGCCATTTGCCTCATCAAAAATCGGCCATCTCCCACTACAAAATTACGATGCTATGTATAGCGGCGAGAAGGAAATCAAGTCACAATCTACAAAGCTCGGGTTGTGATTATGGGGGACTTTTACTCCGATAGAGCTCCAAACCTTGAGAGATAATAGCCAGCTGGGACGTGGGATGAATAGGTTAACATTTTTATCTTGATATCGACCCGTACAAACATAGCGTATAATAGTAACTCATATTGATACTCAGGATTGCGATGGATAGCCGAGATTGATGGTGTTTATGGCAGTGCGGGGTTTGGTAAATAGTGACAGGGATATGACACGTGTATATATGGCGCACTGACTCCTCTTTAACATTAGGACACTTCCGACTACATTCACAATGCCCACACCTACTCTAGGCTAATCACCCCTCACTATATCGGTCCTATCTTCTAATTAATGCCTTTTCACCCTTTTATCTTAAATGACAGGTCATGATATTCTTCGTCTTGCTGGCCATCATCAAGCTCAGAGTTATGGACAGATTCAATCTTTAACAGAATGAGTTAAGTGGTCGCAAATTAGTATACTGGAACTCGAGACTTTCGAGCGTTTTCGACTATGGCGTGATTGTGGGCGCCGAGACTACGTATTCGGATAGTGCTACAGACACTCTAAAAATAGGAAACTTTAGAAGGTGTTTTGGTCCGTCTCCTGGTCGTCATCTCCACCGATAAGAGTCTGGGTAGCCTAGACACCTACCTCACACAAGAAAGGAAAGACTGTGAGGCCATATCTCGCGCGGTGGCTACATACAACAAGTGGCCAAGGCATGCTAGGGTAGCCAAAGGTTTTTCTTGTTTTCCCTTTGGCGGATATTCACGGCTGAGGAAGGCTGAAAGTCCCTAGCAACAAGGTCTCGAGTGGTTCAAATGCCAAACTTAGTCATCGTCGTATTTAATAATAATTATTCCCTATCCTGATTTTGCGCCTTGAGGCCCATGCAGGTTTTTATCGGAAGATATGTACTTTAAGTAGGATGACTCAATTTGACGTTTAGAACACTCACACTCAGATTTCATTTGCAGATACCACTCGAGACTAACCCTTACGGCGTATAACCTCTTCCGTGCATACCCACCACAGGGAAAAGCGAGAGAAACCTGTGGCTATCCAAGTGTGCTGTCATCATCCCACAAGTACAATATTACCGCGAGAGAGAGTGGTGTGTGGCTCCGACTGGATTCGAACCAGCTTTCTCCTGTCTCGAATGGGGTAGATGTTCAAGCTACCCAGTATCTACTTGGGAGAACGGCCCGAATGGCGTACCACTGCACCATCCAACCCCATCGTCGTATATAGTCGCTGGGAAGGACGTGATTTCTACGTGTCATGCTCTTTGAGTGCAGGGATTGTGCCCGTTACGAATAAATATTTATATGGCGCTTTTAGTCCATCAAAATTTATCGAGTCGTTCAAAAATTTTACTCTCAATCTTAGGATTGACTTGCAAATACATGATGGTTCATGATATACTTGGAAGCTAATCCCTGCTTTCTCGACGACTTAACTGTTTGCTTCCATTCCTTCTATACCCTGCAAACTCGTACCACACCATGAAGTCTACAATAATTTCAAAGGCGGCCTTGCATTCCGTCTACTCCCATTATAGAAAATTTTTCCTTATAAAAGCAATGGTAAAATTCTAAAATGAATCACAACTCACTTTTCTTCGAGCTTCTCAACTCGTGAATGCTAGCTCGATATAAAATATGCCCAGAGCTTGGCTTGCGACTCGCCTTAAATTGCATGCATAACGCCTAATTAGTGAAATACATGGCCACGAAATCCACGAGATTTTAACAATTTAAAAGGTTAGGCTATCTTTTGTTAAGAAATGACAACAAAGATATGGTACCTGTATGTGAGTAACAGTGCTCCACACGTAATCAATTCTGCATTTGATTCTTTGTAAACTCCATTCTCTATCATTCGGAAGTGCCAAAATTGAAAATCTTTGAAAATGAAAAGTCCACGTCATATATTCAAAGGCCAGTCTCTGCGGATAACAGCCGTATTCATGATACTTTTAATCTCAGCCCACGCGTCATCAATTCAAGAAAGAATGATTGAATCAACCGAACCTAGATATCATTGTAAAAAGAAAACATATACGTTCAGCGAAGTTGAAACGGCTCGAAAAGCAGCGTGTAATGGATTCATATTAATAAGGAGTGATGCGAGACGACCCCTTGTTCACACTGAAGATGATGATGATGAAAAATTGATATATGAATGGAATTTTCCTTTATCTACATCGAAAAGTCCTCAAGGTAACTATTTTAATTTATTTACAAACTGTCTCAAATCTTCTTCATTGCCCTGATCCACTAAGTCTGGTTCTAGGTAAAAGAAGGAAATTTATCGAGAAAATAACTCTTAATAATAGCTGTGAACTCAAAGACGTGCTTTATTACGATAGTGAAACACAAAAATTTGAGTCTTGTATAAAAGTACCCGATGTCCCAACAATTACGAATTCTGAGATGGAAAATGTTTCCACTGAGCCTATCGTTCGTTGCGGATCATTATCATGGGAACAAACAGAGCTTCAACTTCACTCAACTCGTAACTTACCCCAATTCATGAGTGGTTTTGTCGAAGTAAAGGACACATCTAGTGAAGTTGATGGTCCATGGAGGAGAAATGTTGTGAGCAAACGAATGAAACTAAAGAAAAAAAGTAAGTTCTATGGATCTTTGAGTAAATAATTTTTTAATAATCCTCAAAGTACAAAATATCCCCTACGAAATTATTGTGAATAATCAGAATGAGGTTTGCGGCATAGTCGTAACTCATAACATAAGCCGAAAACCAAATACAGCTCATAATCCCGATTCTAGAGAGGATATAATAGCAACTCTTAAATCGAACAATATAAAAGGAACTATCAGAATCGTATGCCTGCTTGACAGGAAGTTTCCGTTTTTCTCTACAACACTAATATCGAGTCTATCGAACCCGAAAAAACGAAAGAGTCGTGGGTAGCCTAGATTTTGGGACAAAAAAGAGAAGCTTCTAGTAGTGCTGGTTTGACACTTGACACCAGGATAAACTTTCATCTGATTCATAGGTCTGGCGTAGAAATATACGGCCAGAATGAAGAAGTTATCGTCACAAAATCCATACGCGTAAGAGAGCTTCACGAAGGTAACTAGGAACATTTGATTATACAAGGTTAAATTATATTTCTAGGCCTATGAACCTATACAGTTCTTGACGCGCACTAAAACTTGCAAGCAGCACAGTATCTAGGGCATGACACCAAGTTATGGGTGCAATGAATGGTCACTGCGTCTTATCGTTCGGGTGTACGGGTTTGGAGACAATTCATGGCAGCATGGGAGCTTCGTTTACAAATACTAGTCGTATTGAATGAGTAAAGCGAAACATCTTTAATCTTGTGCTTCAAAAGACTGTGTCGCCAGAAAACTTGCAAATGCGAGATATGATTCAAGGTAGGGAAATGCTTTGTTCGGACTTCAGAACATGCGATGATATTTATCTAAACATACCTGATTTGTTTTACGAATTTACTCCTAATACAACTCCTGAGTGGGAAATGTTGGAAATGTAGACACGGAGTGTTTTTTTTTTTTTGCATCAGATTTTAATTGCGTATGTAGCTATCTAGCTATGACACAATATCAAAGAAAAGTACAGAATAAATACACTTGTACTCGTAGCGTACACCCCGCACACTGTTAACTGTAATCCGAACACGAGCCTCTTTTAGTCAAGTCCTTCTTTCGTTCCATGAAAATCGCGTCCATTTGATGCCGCGATATTTCCGGCAGGAAATAAGATATCATAGCCTATCATTTTGGATGTGTGATGCCTTCAATTGTTCAGACCTAGTTTTTTATTAACTATTTAATGCTAAATATATTTCTAGCTGTGACTCATGATCCGTGTGATTAATACATTTTGGATGAGTCTCTTGACGTTAGAAACACTCATCGTCCGGATTCCATTCGCAATTATTACTATCAGTAATGACTGCTTACACCAACAGTCGACCCTCCCTCAAGAGTGTTCACCAGTGATAAATTCAAAATCTTTCGTTATCCAAGCAAGCTCTCGTCATCCATGTATACCAGCGACGCGAGAAATGTAGTTGCATTTCGCCGGATTCGAACCAGCGGTCTTCTATCTCGAGTGGTATATGTGTCCAAGCTATCCAGAATCTACTCGGGAGACCGGCTTAGGAGATGTACCACTGTGCTGTCCAACCATGGCAGTGTTTAAATCTCGCAACCGAAGGTGTATGGCGCACAAAGCTCAATTTGTAGAAATCCATTCAAGAATTTAATATCTCACCAATTTCGAGAATACACTTCTCTCCCACGTCCATCTCGAAAGCCTACCTACTACATTTGCCCGGCACAATTTGTCTTCTCCCCTGGATATTGATATTGCTGTAGGCGTATGTGTGAGGTCATTCAAAGCCAAAGACTGGTTTTGCGAGAGGTCTATTCATAGAAATGAGGATATTATAGACCGTACTCGCAGACTTGATGCAATTTTGAACGAGATCGATCTTGTTGGGAGTGAGACATCGACTTGAATGGGAGTATGGAATCTGTTGGAATGAAATGATAATTGTGTTAGAATCTAGAATAATTGGAGCTATCAAGTAGGCTACGTTGCCGGTACACAAGAATTCTTCATCTTTCAGTGGTGCCGGTGTGATTGCTCAGTATCCTCTGCATATCTGGGATAGCCAAGAAGAATAGCATCCGAATCGAAGTCGAAAGCAGACAAATCTATAATCGGCGACTTCTCATCAATGTCGGTCTTGTCATTCTCACGAGAGTCCTCTACCTTAACCCCTCCACACACCATCTCGCCTCAACGACCGAGAAAGGCGTTACTCCAATTGCAAACAGGAGCTTGTTTCATTAGTTACCTGCCATAACCTACTACAAACTTACGACGCTACATATACCCACATGGAGGAAATTAAGTCAAAGAATACAAAGTTGGGGTCTTGGTTTACAGGGGGCTGTAGCTCTAACGGGAAGAACAACTTGAAGGAGAAGAGGCAGCTGAGGTGTGGAGCGAGAGGGAGACGAGGTCTTTGAACACCAAGCGGCGACTGACATTTTCGAGGGATTCTCAACTTTGGAACATTTATGGGTGCCAAGACCGAGATTTCTGCAAAAAAACCAGGAGGACTTCTTTTGCCAATGAGTGAACGGCACTCCCTAGCGCCCCGAACGGCACAGAAGAAGCTAAGCTAAGCTACCATACAGCAATCACGCTCTGTCAAGACTTTTCTGACATTTCAGCACGACCTTCGCGATGGAGTTGGAAGGAGGCTAGAAAGGCAGAGTGTGAATTCTCCGAGGTACCCACAAGTCTGCAGCGCCCAGCTGGCCGGCCTCTTCAAACGCTTCAGAAGTGTCACTATGACTTCGGACTTAGTCCTGATGTCGGTATTAGAAGAGCTCAGCGTGCAATAGTTTTTGCGATTTTTCCTGGCTGCCATACACCCGCAAATAGCCATGGGTTCGTTGACTGGAGAGGGGAGATAATGAAGCGCAAAGGGCTCCTCTTAGTGTATGATCGAATGAGGACCTGTGAGGGGTGGTACTGTTTGAGGGGAGCTGTATGGGAGGCATAGGAGGGGATATACTGCTGGTATAGGTATCCTTGGCCTGTAGGCAGAGAGGACCTGCATGTCCTGCATAGTCATAGACTCTAAAAGTAAAATAAAATAAATCAAGATCCAATGAATTTTCAATAAAAGATTCCCATCTCATATACATCATTCATAGTCTACGGGTGATCCTGCTCTGAATGACCAACACTAATGTCTTCTACTCGTGTCTTGAACGGAGCAGTGAATCTATCTTCTGGCCCTTTGCTAAGTATCCGATGGCCATCGTCACGTGACCTAGATCTTCCTTAACAAAACATCGAACGCAGACTTCCTGCCCACCTTGTAACCACTGACAATCGGGTAAATATGTGGCCCATTTACTGTTTACCCCGTAATAATACTGCATATTCTAGGTCTCAACAGTATCATTGTCTCGTGGGCCAACTCGATCGGTTTTGCGATTTATGACCAAACCTGGCTCTGGGAGAATATTTCACTCGCAAGTTCGTAGAGAAGAGCGCGTACGGATTTTCAGGCTCGCCCTCCTCGTGGCTAGATCATATAAGAGTATGTTAGTAAGCGGTTTTAATCAACCATGCTACCCTACAGTTTTCCAACTTCAATCTCATCATTTGTGAGGAAACTGGGGAGCCTCTCCCGTAGCAGGTGATGAGAATTAACGGGTACGAACAACCCAGCAGAAACCACTTTATTCTAACCTCGAGTATCGGCCCCCCAGAAGTTGTCTCTTCTCTCAGTGGATCGTGCGTTCAACTGGCCAATTTATAGTCCTCTATTATTGGACCCAATATAACTAAATGTGATCCGTACACCCAATATACCCTAGATGCTTCCTAATGTCTGCCAGATCCCCCCGCGGCTCAAACACTTCTCAGTCCTGTATATAACTAATATACACTAAATTGAGCATACGTAGAAATTCTGCGTGTTTCTCTTTACCTAAGGCTTTTGTCATAGCATCAGCAACCATTTCATGTGTACCTACCCATAAGACCTTAATCTTTTTAGACTGAGCCTCTTCTCTGAGCCAGTACTGATAGATATCAACATGTTTGAGCTTTGTCCGTACGTTGGGGTTTGCTGGGTCAATAGGCGTAAGAGCTGGATGTTGTCATTAAAAATTTCCACTTGTTGTTCAGGATTAATTTAATTCCGGAAGACACGCGATGTATCCAAATCAATTCTTTGGTTGCATGGGAAAGAGATTATAGCTCAGCTTCGGTCGATGAAGCTCTTACCGTTGCCTGTTTGCTTGAATTTCAATGAACCAGACCACCAAATAGTTGAAAACAAAACGCTGAACACTGCGACGTTCTTGCTTATTTCCAAAGGCTGCATCTGCTGAGAAATTGAGGAATTTTTCCGGGGAGTGTGGTCCAGAATACTCAATGCTTAACCCTTTTGTCTCATAAAGGTAGCGTTGGTAAAACACAAATTAATACAAATTGGGTGCTGTCACGGACTGACCCTGTAATATTGTGTTGCACCTGGCCAACAGTGTCATGAGTGTACTCAATATCACAGTTAATGCGTTGAGATAGCAGCAGTTACTACCCAAGATACTAATCAGTTGCTATGATACGGGTGTAGGCTATTGTTAGTCTCTACGAGTCAATTGAATAATGTATGAAGTAAAAGTAAAAAGTGTCAATTAATTCCTGGCTGCCATTTCTCTTTCTGATACTATCTAGATTATGTACGTCTAGAAAATGGCAAATGCTCTATCTGTCCCCAACTTGTCCCCATGAACCGAGTTTCTCATGGTTAGGAACGAGACATCTCTAGTGAGAAGATATAGAGTTCTTATTGCTACAGCCCAAGCGAAACACCTTTGTCCGAAACAAGTAACTCCAAGCTTTGTAAACCTTATTGAAAGGCTATGCTGAGCTGGAAAGACGTACCGTTAGGATGAAGGTATGGAAGGAGGTAGCTATGGCTTTAAGAGAAGTAAAGTTCGTGAGTTATACTCTTAGGACTTGGATCAATGGACGAACTTGAGGATATTCCCTAGTATTCTCAAGTGTGTAAATAATATGGAGATTTTTTGAATTACCTATTGTATGGATTGCTTAATTTATCTACGTGACAGGACCTTCTTCTATATACATGAATAAGGGGGTTCTGCACACTAGTGGATGTTCCAACATCTGTCCTTGTCTAAGCGAGAAAGGAAGGATGTGAGAGATCCTAGCGCCAATAGATACCATTAGGAATCTATTGGGAAATGCTATGTCATACCAATGAGTGATGATCTAGGTCAATCATATCCCATGGCGCATGTGCACATTATTCTAATGTGAACAGTTTATTGTAATGCAGTCATGTTACTCCCTCAATCACAACAAACCTAACACCTTAAACT